AATCGATTCAATTTCAATTTCGGAATCGAAGTGATTTCGATTTCGAATCGATTCGATGTCGGAATCGAAATCGAAATGATTTTGAGTTCGAGAATTGCGATTTCAGAGAACGACAGGGGAAAGACGATGAGACGACGATGGGGGGGGAATGAGGAGAAAGGAAAAAGGAGTAGAAAAGAGAGAAGAAACGACGGAGAAGAAGAGAAAAGAGAAAAGAAGAACGGAAAAAAATAAATACATAACGTACATGTGCCTTGTCGTCGGCGATTCAGGATCGTTGATGACGTGGCAGCGACGACGATGACGATGACATGGCAATGTCGACGCTGGAGACGATGATGACGATGATGGTGTGGCGTTGTTAAGGCTGCTCCGGGTCGATCAGGGCGGGCAGGAGGGCAATCAACGCCGCTCCGATACCAGTGTGACGAGGCAGAGTCAGAGCAGCGAGGCTGGGAGAGAGGGAGAGCGAGAGCACACACACACGCTCACTATCAACTCGACGCAGACTCGGCATGACTCGACGGACACAGACACAAAGTGGCAAAAGTCACAAAGTCGCAGTCTTAAATTCCGGAACACAATGTCGAAGCAATGTCATACTGAACACAAGCACTGAGGCTGAAAACTTGGTGCCCGTACTGGGCTTGAGTCCGTACATAAGTGTCGGACTCAAGTACAGTCCTGAGGGCGAAAGTGAAAATGCCTCAAGGCCAGAACTGAAAATCGAATGTCTGAGAGTGGGCGCCAGAATGTCGGATGGCGCCAAGTGTCCAAAATCCAAAAGTCCCAAAAGAAGGAATTTGAAAGCGGGCGCCAGAATGCAGATGGCACAAACTATCCGAAATCAGAAAAGCAGGAATCAAAAACAAAAGAAATGCAAAACAAAAAAAAGAAAACAAATACAGCAAGCTGGTGGGTGGTAACCCGCCGACCAGGGATCAAGCCCTGGCAGAGTCCGTAACAGGCCTTGTGGCAATCTTGTGCTCTTATCTCTGAGCAAGGACCGGACTATATGCCAGCAAGATCTGCTAGCCACCACAAATTCCAGAGGTCGACCCTTCATACAGAATGCCCAGGTGTGCCTCCCACATTACAGAAGGTTGGTCCTAAAAAACGGTCAGAAACAAGCACTCAATGTTCGCATTCTTTGGAAGTATGTCTCATGTGCAATGCACTTCGTTGGACCATTCACAGATCATGCTCGACATTAATTTAGAAACGTAAAACATAAGGAGTGGAGCTAGTTAACAAAAAGAACACCGAGAGCAAAAGTGGGTTTGGCTGCACTAGCCATGACCAATTCCAGGAAGGTTGACCCTATCATAGAGAACGTCCAGGTGTGCCTCCCACATTACAGAAGGTCAGTCCTAAAAAACAGCCAGAAAACAAGCACTCAAGATTCACATTCTTTAGAAGTAAGCCTCATCTGCAATGCACTTCGTTGGACCATTCACAGATCATGCTCGAAATTAATTTAAAAACGTAAAACATAGGGAGTGGAGCAAGTTAACAAAAAGAACACCGAGAGCAAGAGTGGGTTTGGCTGCACTCACTGAGTTGACAATGCTGACACGTCACTTCCAGTTTCTGATATAGGTCGTTCTGGGCCCAGAACTTTCTCGCGGCCCTCTCCAGTCCCTCCTCCTGCAGGTGGTGCTGATGGAGGCTGTTCACTCAAGAGTACGCTCTTTGCAGTACTTTTTGTCTGTGATGGAAAAGGTGGATTTGGGACAGGTTGTTGCTGTTGGTGATGCAGTTGCTGCTGACCATGAGGGCGCTTCTTAGCCCCGCTCTTGGTTTTCCTCCTAATGGGTACACCTTCGTCCTTCAAAGTGACAACTGCTGAGTCTGCTGGATTACCAGCATGTGCCTTAGTGGCATGCATGTCTGATGTAGGTGCACTTGGTGCAAGAGGTGCAGGCTTCGAGTACAATGGAGGATCCGCACTGAACACTCGGACCATCTGCAGCAGTCGCACAGCACCCAATTGCACAAACTCACTGTAACACAAGCATTCCCTGTTGAAGATGCACCTAGATTGCCTTCATTCATGGCTTTGAACATGGCTGGAGCTCACCTCTCCAAAAGTATGACCAGAGAATACTTTCCTTGACACAGTCATGTCATGCAAGCATGGATACAGTAATGAGCCTGAGTAATGGTCCAATAACGCTGGACCCAGAACTGTGCATGAACCACATTC